TGAAAGTTTCTGGAAATTTCGTTCTAGAAGCCCGTTCCTTCGCCTCGAGTGAGAAACTGAGATAAATATGTTGTCCCGCGTGTTTTCTTATGTTGCCATAATCATCAATGTTTCCGGCCGGTCTCCCCGCCCTCCGAGGTTGCCGAAGGGGGCAGGCAACCGTGGTAATCCAAGCACTCAGCAGCAGTCAAAGGGGGTGGATCTCGCTGCACGCGGGCAAACATCCAACGGGCCAAAGGCGAGTTTCCTGTAGGTCGGCTGCCCAACTACTCCGTTGCTCTGTGTAGCTGTATGTAGCTAGCTCTACATGAGCGTTTAATAGCAGAGAGAGAGAGAGAGAGAGAGAGAGAGAGACGGAGGGAGAAGGAGGGAGGAAGGAAGGTACCACAAGCGAAGATAGCCTTCCTTGGGGCCTGCTTGACAGTGTTGAAGAACAGAAGCTTGATTGACTGAGGTGAGTGGCAAAAGCAAGATGAGACCATCCAAGATAGAGCTGTTGACACCCGTGCGAAAGCTAACGCTCCCCACACTCTTCCTTGTACAAGAATATTTTTGCAAAACCGTAACACCGGCGGCTGTTGTGCTCCAAGGCGTGCGCCCCTTGCTACGGCCGTCGCGGTGACTTTGTCGTCGGCACACCCTTCCCACCTTCCCACCCAACCAAAGAGGAGATGCGATGTATCGTAGGACGGCGGTCCAGCGAGTTTCCTCGTTTTGTGCGGGAGGCGCCAAGGATGGTACGCGCAAATAGTTGGTCACCGTTCGATACGAACTACCCTGGTACCATCACTACTGCTGTACTACTGCTTGCTACAACATCTAGTCTAAATATATGTATACCTCCGCAGGCACGACGGCACAGCAATTGTTGTGCAGTCTCCAAAACGCACACACGAAAAGAGAAAAGAATGGAACATGTGTTGACACCTCGGCTGCTTGCCAAACGTTGCTCGCTCATGGTTTTGCGTTTGGGGTGCCCGACTACTGTACACGACATGGCAACTTTGTACACCGCTTTTCGCCTTCGGCGTGATTGCGCAACAAACTCACCGAAAAGGAGAGGAAGCGAGGCAGCACACGCTTTTTTTTGGTACAAATATATGCATCGTGTGTGTTTGATCCGGCTGCCGCCATAAATAGGGCAACTTTTTTGTAAGACACGGAAGAACTTCTAACAATTATCTATGTTTTAGAGGAGGTAGAGCCGGGTAGATGCCCATCTCCCACAAATCACCCGTCGATTTTGTAAGACATTTTGTAAGGACAGAGACACCCGCTGCCATCACCAGTGTAGGTACCCACGCACGCACACGGTCTTCTGCACACATACATACGCATATCTGCGCCGGAAACAAGGCAGCGAAATACACATACGTACCAGGTACGTACCCCGAAAAAAGCGGCGAAATAGCGCAAATAAAAAAAATGTAGACGATGCCAGTCAGTGCGAGCGCACACACACAGCCATTGATTGTGCCATGTCAGAGGATGCAGGTACTGCTTCCTCACAGACCAGTGGCAGTACTGCTGGTGCTGGTGCTGGTGCTGCTGATGCTGCTGCAGCATCTCCTTCAGCTTCGCAGCAGTACAATAGTTTCGTGTTGGGTAAGGTTGGGTAGGGTGCGGCATGTACGTTGTGTGTTTGGTTGAGTGTACGGTTGGCGACTTCCATACCAATTAAAAAAAAGAAAACAACTTGGCATCCCGCGTGAACCGCGACCATCCAATCGTACGTAAAGGAGTGGCGCTCCGCTGACACCGTCCCCACGTGTAAAAGGTACGCACATGTACCTCATTCCGGCAGCTGAAAAGGAGCTCAATCTTGGATCTGGGGGTCAGTGAGATCGGACCCGGTGCGATCTCACCGACCCCGGTGCGTCAATCGAATTAAATGTTTGTTTATCGTTTTTTTTTATCGCACCCCGGTGCCATCTCTCCGACCGGTGCCATCTCTCCGGCCGGTGCCAACTCTCCGACTAGTATACACATATTTAGTTGGTTGCGCCAACGTTTCCGTGGCAAGATTTACCCCTGTAACCATGCCGCCGGTGCTGGAATGATATCTCCGCGGTATGCCTCCAACACGTGGAACGAAGGATACGGAAAACAACGGTAGATATCTCCACTGATGTTTCGTTGGATGCGTAAGAATACAGCAGCCACAAGCCAAGACAACATGGTTTACCAAGTGCCTGAGGTGCGTCGCTTGTGAGCACAACTCGACCGGCGGGAAAAGGGAACTCGTTTTTGCCGTTTTCCACCGGCGGGGTGCCTATATTCGCCGTGTCCGTTTACGCCGCCTGTTTGAAGTACCATGTACCATGCGTGTGGATGGGTGTTTTCTCGTTTAGCATCCACCGCACTAACTACTGCTATCGTCCGATTGATGCGATTGTGTGTATTTGTGTAGATGGCGTGTGGAGCCTGCAACCGCAGCACAAGAACCGAGGTATCCGTACATACATACGTACACCCGCAAAGATTTAAATTTGTACCGTGCATGCTGGAGTTATCGCGCGTGGGGTGTGCGTTAAAAGTTAATAGTCCAAGCTTGGCCTTCAGGAATTTCTGTTAGTGCACTGCCGCCCTCAGCGGTCTGTGGTGTTGAGACTGGGGACTATTTATCCCAGGAACAGCAGATATAAAAGGACCATGTATTGTATATATTCCTCACGCAAGCCCCTCAGGCAAGTGCCGGGAGCACACCGCCGTGTGCTCCCGGGGGCCCCGCACTTGGACCACAACCGCATTCATACCCTCACACCCATACTTCCCATACGCGTATCCCCCACAGAGGATGCACAGATCGGACTCATATCCAAGTACCACAAACAGCCCCCCTACTTGATACGATGTACGATCTTGCCACCCTTCACGCGCAATCAGCCAATACAGAAAAACACCGCTTGAGAAAACTTATTCAACAAAAAAACTGGCTACGCATCCAACACAAAGCGTCTCCATCAGTTTATTCACGAATCCAAAGCGTTCGTCTCTGGAAATAATCTCAAACCGTTGACACAAAATAATCATCCTCAGAAAAGCCCTACCCAACAATTATTTGTGCTACATCAGAAAGGCGTCGGAACGAAAACGGACATTTCTGGAAAAATCAACTTCCAAAAGAGTTGGCACCAAATCCTCAAACAAAACAAAAACTCAACTGCTTGACCAATCAAAGCGAGAATTCGGAAAGCACAATGGCCCCAACCATTAATCGTCAAAAACATGTCAAATCCTTCCTCCAATATAGTGTCCGAGGACCAAATCCTAAACGCGCGCACCCGCTAATCGGTACCGTCACTGTTGTCCAAGAAACGATAGAAAATATAAGCAAGCATCCACGCAAACAGCCCCCCTGCTCTCAGCTCCCAAAATTCACCCCGAGCTAATATCTCGATGTCAACAGTCCCCCCTGCTTTGCCGTTCACCTAAAACCCAAACAGACAAGGCCAGAAAATGAACCAATTCGATTGCTGCTCACGCCCTCTAGAATCATGGTCATACATGACATCCCCCCCCATGATTTTCGATGCAAGAGCAGCAAAACATGCGATACAAACCAAAAACATGAAAACACGTTACACACATGGCATCAAACTCCGGGAAACGTTCGTACCGTATGAAAACTGTCTTTGCAACTGGAACTCCAAAAGCTACCCTGCTCCCTGAGCGGCATGCCTTCACGCACGTCAAACAACGCGCTATCATCCCATTTCTTGCGCGCGGCTAAAAACACACCGCAGAGAGCGACCACTTAACTCAGGACCTAACATAAAAAAAATAAAAAAATACGCACAAGTGCAAAACGCTGAAACGTACTCCCTCCAAAGAAGACGGAAATAGTATGAAGCATTCAGCTACAAGGTAAAACACGACTGAAAATATACCAATAACCAAGGAAAAAAAAATACCCACGTGCTGCTTCCTATTCCACAGGTTGTGGCAATGCTTATCTTGTCCCAGCGTACATTTATTATCATGAACCCAAGTACAGAAAAAAAAAAATACGCACACGCCGTGGCACACGTCTTTTCTGCATCAAAGTGCACGGTGCGCTCGCAAGAGAAAAACCGAACAAAAACATTAATACGAAGCCAAATGGCGAAGCTAAAACGTGCATGCCTGCTCACAAAACCGAACAAAGTCGTAAACGTTTCACATTTTCTCCCACTTGGCTGAAAAAAGGTGAGGTCGTCGCTGTCACCGTGTCCTCCCCGTTCCCGGTCGACTCGAGGGCGCCACCGCTGCTGCTGCCACTGCCATCGCCGCCGTTGCCGTTCCCCCGCCGCCACGACCGTCATGAGTTCCAGCGCCAACACGACTGCCGGTAACGTCGCTGCTGCCGCCTCTACCACCGCCGCCGTTGTCGTCGCTGCCGCCGACGGGGCTCTGGCCAAAACCGCCGCTGCCGTCTTCTGCTGCCGTCGGAGCTCTGGCCGAAGCCACCACTCCCGTCGCTGCTCCTGCTGCCGCCGGTGTCGCCGCCGGAGCTCTGGCCGAAGCCGCCACTCCCGTCACGGCTGCCGCCGTTGCTGCCGTTGCCGCTGCCACTCCCGTTCCTGCCCCTATCGAAGGGGTACGCCACCCCTGGGACCGCCCCCCGTCTCCTCGCGCCACGCGAAGATGTCTTACCGGGGTCGAAGGGGTGCGTCGGGGCTCCACTCCAGGTTTCATCTAACCCCTCACCCCCGTTCCCATCACCGCCGCTTTCCTCGCTGCTGCTGCTGCAGCTGCAGCTCACTTCCTCCTCAGCCTTCCCGGGGTCGAAAGGGTTGCGTCGGGGCTCCACTCCAGATTTCATCCAACCCCTCGTCGCCGCCCGTACGGCCGTCTGGACACCCGACGCCAACGCGGCGACCGGGGACACCGCTGCTGCTCCTGCCGCTGCCGTTCCCCCCGTCACCGATGTCGCTACCGCCGCCGCTGCGGCCGCTGCTGCTGCTGCTGCTGCTGCTGCTGCTGCTGCTGCTGCGGCCGCCGCTGCTCCGGTCATCCGTCTCTCCACCATACTTCTCCTCTCCATCCACACGCACCTCCAGCGTAGAAAATCCTCCAGGGTCAAAAGGGTACGACGCGCTCCTCTCGAAACCGCAGATGCCGTCGTCTCCGCCGCTGCTGCAGGTCAGGGTGCCCGGGGCCATCGCGGCGACCGGGGACGACGCTGCTGCTGCCGCCGCTGCCGCCCCCCCCGTCGCCGCCGCCGCCGCCACGTGTTAGTGCACTGCCGCCCTCAGCGGTCTGTGGTGTTGAGACTGGGGACTATGTTATCCCAGGAACAGCAGATAAAAAAAGGACCATGTATTGTATATATTCGTCACGCAAGCCCCTCAGGCAAGTGCCGGGAGCACACCACCGTGTGCTCCCGCGAGCCTCGCACTTGAACCACAACCGCATACATACCCTCACACCCATACTTCACATACGCGTATCCCCCACAGAGGATGCACAGATCGGACTCATATCCAAGTACCACAAACAATTTCGTCATAATCGCACATGCTGGAGCTAATCGCACAGAGGTGTGCGTATCGAAACCAAATGATTGATTCGATTCCCGCGCAGGGCCCGGAGTCATCGATCGCACACCAGTCCGGAGCCATCGCACCCCCATCGCACCCAAGTGCGATGAAAACGAAATAGCCAAAATGTTTGAGAAACAACCGAACGGGGGTGCTATGACTCGCGATCTTATTCTTCTTACGTACGGTCCGCAGTTCCGCTTTGGCGCTGTGGAGTAATCGTACATATCTGGTACTTTTGTATGGGCGGCTCTTCTCCCTGCTCTTCTCCCTGCTCTTGTCGTTGGCTCTCTCTCTCTCTCTCTCTCTCTCTCTCAATCGATTGCACGGCGTCTTTTAGTAAGCCCGAGCATTCGCATTGGGCGACTAGCCGCAGATAACTCAGAACCTAACAACTCTGAGCACCATTTGCATGCTCGCCCGTAAAACCTATATTACCGCCATTCGTATGTAGCATCACCCTAGGAACTAAATAAGAACTTCAGCCTCGGCCTAAATTAGAGGTCTTGAAGTGCGGCGCGTATTGCGTGCTTCGTCCTCTGCGTATCCCCCACCCCCACCCCCACCCCCCCTGTCCATGTATTGCAGCATCGTTGGCGTGCTGAGTCCTACGGAAAGTGTTTTTTTGCGTGAGACCCCATCAAACCATTAGACGAGTCAGCGTTGAGTAGTCTAATGGTTTGATTTCGGCTTCTATTGTCCTTTTTCTGCCAGACCCGCCTTGGCGCGTATTGTAGCCGACTGGCCGCCTGTTGATCATCGTGCAAGGGGATCGTGAACCTCTTCGTTCCCCCGCAGGCAGCACCCTCGCGATCTACGGCGCCCCCTTCTCCACCTTCGCTAGTCAAGATGTCGCAGCGGGAACTATGGATACATTGGCCGATTTTCTTTCGTACGAAGTACATTTTATTTTTGCCTTTGAGCACGGGCACCACGCCTATAACAGCAGGCTGTCTACGACCTCACGGATTGACACTACTGCTGTAACTGGTGCTTTTTCCTTGCGTTGCGAGAGAGTCAAAGATGCCGAGGTCTAGGAGTCCATTGAAGGTTAGAAGGGGCATATGCATGTTGGAGGAATGACAAAATGATAGGTCGACACAGCAGATAAAAAATCCTACACAGCAAAAATGGTGTGTTTGTAGCCCCCCCACCCCCACCCCCTCGCTCCAGATTCGCGAAAAGGTATTTAGGTAGGTGTGGACCCCGGAGGGGTGCTTTCTGTCACTGTACCTATGTGTGATGTGACCTCCCCCCCCCTTTCTCCAGCTCCGTCCTGTCGAGGACGCGTGGTCAATGGTCTAGCCGCTAAGGCATGAACAATACGAGTACTCCCCGCTTCTCCCTTGCTTCGTCGACGAATGCCTTCGTATTCGGCAGGGGAACGGAACGGGAAAGCTTACCAGGCGACAACCGGGGTAGGGGGGACAACATCAGAGTTGTGCTGTTGCTCCAAAGCCACTGTTGTGTTGTTGTTGCTCGTGTATCGGTACCCATTATTTCAATCCACCCCCCAAACAACAACAACCCTAACCATGGATCAGTACGGACAGACGGTACATAGCGAAATCGGACCAGTTTTGATGTGAAGACAACAACAACAACAACAACAGCAACATCACCCGACCCCCTCCGCGCCCTTCGTCTTTGTGTATTTAGGGATGTCTGCATCCTCGGATGAGGAATGGGGGCCCTCTCCCTGGGAACCGATGACCACCCCCGACCTCGCGCTGCTGAGCCTGACCCTCTTCCACCAGCTGGTGGTGCTCTGCGCCGCTGTGCACCTGGTCTGGAAGAGGGACTGGCCTCCGTACGTTACCAAGAACGTCACCCTGGTGAGAGTTACCCCTTCGAAAATTACCCCGAATGTGTATGCCATCTGCCGGAGAAGGTGCGGGTAGAAGAAATGTCTGAGTGCGGCCGTGATTGTTGTGCAAGTAATGGCATCTAATGGCATCCCCCCCGGACCGAATTTTTTTCCATGGCCTCCATTGTAGATTTGAAGTGAAGATCAAAAACTAGTCCTATGTACAGCTACAGGAGCGAGAGTGCGGGAACCGGCCGCCGACAGTGAAGGTCTCGACGGCATACATTCGGAACGCCACCGTCTTCCGCCAGTGGTGCCATCTTGATTGTGGAGCTCAAGTCGATCTTCTGTATTAAAATTCCCGTGTGTCGGCGGGGGATGCTATTACTCGCTTCCCCCCCCCATGTCCGTTGGATGTCCGTTGGTCACGGACACGGATCACGTGGCGGCTTTTTTTTTTCCTCGCGTCATTTTCTTCGTGTCCGTAGTATCTGAGAATCATCTCTCACCGGTGCCGCCTATATATATTAGCCTTCGAGCACTGTCACCCTTGGTGTTTTATTGCGACATCGGGCTATAGGCCTCGCGCGCCCAAAATCTTGCGTTGTTCCAACAACAACGGGGCCGACACGTATGCATACGCATGCATAGGTTGCGGCTACGGGACTGGGGGGCTCCTTGCACGCCCTTGGTGCCCTTGTGGCGTACGGCGCTCTGGACAGAGATAGCGGCGACTTTTTGGCGAGGTGCGGGGTGGAGGCGCTGCTGACGTCGCTCGGGATGGCCCTGCTGTTTTTTCCGGCGTGCGTGCGGGTGAGAAAGGAGGGGCGGAGAGGGAGGGAGGGAGGGAGAGAGGGAGGCAGATGGACAGACAGACCGAGAGTCAAGAGACAGAGACAGAGAGGCAGAGAGAGAGAGCCGAGATATATCCAGATCCGCCCCCTTGAGTTGTCACGGCCTCTCGGTTCTGGAGCAATCGGGTTGTCACAACCGACCGCACACTTGTGTTTTACTCGCACAAATACGGTGCATCGTTTCCGGGTGCGTTTTTTTTGTTTTTCATGTGTTGTTGTTGCGGTCGGCAGAGATATAGGTATCGGTGGCACGGGTCGGCTTCGCTGCGTTGCTTTCAACCTTCGGCTGTTTCTGGCGCGAGAACTCCTTTGAAGTTGTTGATGTTGCCGTTGTTGCTGCCATTACGCTTCTTGTTGATGGTGGTTGAAACTTGCCGTGGAAGGTTGAATCGCTCCTCGTAGTGAACGAGCAACACAATTGGTTCCATGGTTTGATTTTGCGAGACTTGAGCCGCGGTGGCAGTGGCCAAATCTGGAAACTACAACCCCTTTGCACGCTCACCGTCCACTGTAGTCGTGCTCACACGTTGCTGTTGTCCTTGTTCTTGTTGTTGGTTGCCCAGCTAGCATCATGTGTTGAAAACCAAGATGATCGTGGATCAACGTTTTGCGTCTCGTCCGTTTTTCCCAGGTGTACCGGAACCACAAGGTTCTCGTTCGGCACTCGGCCTCCATGTGGACGCCCATGGCCCAGCTGCAGCTCGTCTCTCTGCCCTTCCTCGTGCCGGCGATCACCTACACGTGAGGCTTTCGCTTCGCGCTTCATTTTTGACAAACAGACAGTCACAACCGGCGTGGGGATATTGACAAAGTTCCCTTCCGTTCGATCTCAGTCCCTTTCGTTCGAGACAGACAGCCGAAAGTTGTGGATGCACGCCCACCCATGGTTTTCTACACACGGCCATGCATACAACTGCACACATTTCTTTTGGAAAGGGCGATGTGGAGAGTGTTTACGTGCGAAGGTTGGCGTGGGCGATTACATGCGTTTGCACCTGTGCAGAATGGCATACAGAAGTACTTCCCCCCCCCAACAGCTGGGGCGGCACGTTGTTTGGGATGCGGTGACCGCCTGAAGTCGGTGCTTGCATGGTTGAGTTTGGTACAGAGTGGTCGCTCTTGGTCTTGCGTATATTTTTGGAACCCTGTCCTATGTTCAAGTAGGGGGATGCTGTCATGTTCCCCCGCTGGCGCACGGGTATCGTGCTCTCTGAGCCAGATATATATCGCGCCTTCGATCCTTGATCGACGAAACGCGCAGGCGCCCCCACGCACTGCCTGAACGAGTGGTTTCAGTTTTTTTTTCGTGCGTTCTTGATGGCTGATTCGCTCGTCACCGGCTAGAAGCTGACGCTGTCCACGACTTGGAGCACGGAAGGCTGTGGTTGGGCGGTTGGGCCACGTCTACGCGTTCAACTAGAATCTTGGTACCATAATAGTACGACAACAAGGCTCGATATGGACTCGACCTACGTTAAATTGGTGGTCTCTCTGTGACGGTTCTGTGGTGTGTTTTCTGATGCTGACGGCGCCTTGATTGCTGCTTGTGGTTCCGCGGTTCGTGTGTCGTTTCGACGTTAAGGTTGGATCCGCCGCTGGCGGACTTCGAGGACTACCGGAACCGCTGCATTGGCAACACCGGGATAAGTGAGTTACCACAGCAGTGCAATATTTCTTGTTCGATTCGTTCCCGCGAGATGACCCAGCAAGCCACCGTTGTAGGTGGTGTTGCATTCTGCGTTAGGGCTCGACAGGCAAGCCACGACATGATAAGTACCCTCCCCATCCCTGGTCTTGTTGGTGCGTACCTTTCGACGTGCTTTCGTCCCGACCTTTGGCGAGGACCCATACTCCGAGGCCCGGGGTTACGCAGGTTCTTGATGCCCCCAGCCCCCCCTCCCCCCCGCTTCTTGCCTTCCGGCGGCTGCGTCTATGTCTTAGACGCATGTTGTGGAGCATCTTGTTGTGCTTTTGCCTGGGGGCGAGTCACCGTTGCCTAGAGTTGCGCAAGCGGTATTTTCTTGCTGCTGCTGCTGCTGCTGCTGCTGCTGCTGCTGCTGCTAAGGCGGTACCCCTGCGGGCCAGCACCTCAACCGTGTTCGAAATATGCGCCCTTTCTTTCCCTTTGTCGCTCTCTCCTCCTCCCGTTTTTGGTCCATCTCGACGAACACGTGCCTCTCGTGATTGGACAGTTTGTGACAGTTTTTTCTTGTTCGGCGTGTTTCTTTAGGAGTACAAACATACCATCGTTATCTATGTCTCCACTCTCTCCTCACCGTCCTCACAAGGGGATTGATTGTCGAACCCCTAGCGTGGCATGACTCTTGTGTGCCATTTTCGATTTCGTGTGCTGCATGTCCCTTTGCGTGCGCAGACCTGGCGGTCTTTACTTTCATGGCGGCGGCCGTCTCTGTGGGGACGGTGCTGGTTTCCCGGATAAAAGCGAAGCGAGTGCGGAAGCAGCTGAACGACGACACGGTCATGATGGTAAATGGGAGCGTAGATTGACTTGCAGTGGTTTGTGTTTTTTGTTGTTGTTTTGTGTTGTTGTGTTGTTTTGTTGCTACTTTTAGTGCTGTTGTTGCTGATGTTGTTGTTGTTGTTGCCGTTATTGTTGCGGTCGCTGTTGTTTGCGTTGCCACTTCCATGTCGTATCCCTCGTCATGATCGTCGTCGTCGCTGTGGTCATCCACGTCGTCCAACTTTGTCGGGATAATTCTTACCCGCCCGTCCCCTTTCCCCTTGCCACTCCTTCGCCCACGGTCGCCCACGAAGACCTCCCTGGCGTTCTTGCTGGTTTGGGTGCTGTACCTCATCCCGACGGGGCATTGGTTCTGGGATGACAGTCCGAGCGCGGCCCGCCGGCTAGCGATGGTGGACAGTATTGTGGTGAGTTTTACTACGGATTTCTCGTTTCGACATGACTACCTGATGCTGGTGTACTAGGGGAGACCGCGAGAGAACGATCACGGCTTACTTCCACGTGCGATCCTACCGTGGCTCTATCTACTGGTACCTTGGGAAAAATACCAGTAAGTCCCTGAACCCCGTGTGCTTGTCCGAGAGCCCTCGGAGCTGTATGGCTCCAAGACTTGAAAGCATCTGTCTCCCATACACCTTGGAGGGGGGGCTGTGGGCGTGTCCGTGCGGTACAAGGGGGCCTCTTGCTGGTGTTTGTCATTCGCTACAAGGTGTTTCGGACTGTGCCACAATGGACGGGAAGAAGACGGCGGCAATTTTATTTCATCAAGCACTAATCGCCACGCCCCCCCCCCCCCCCCCCCCCCCCC